TTATTTTATTTAATTAAAATTCAATTTCAATTTTAAAAGTTATCATATTAAATGTTGATATTTAAATTTAAAAATTAATTATATTAGAATATAAAATTGATTTCCAAATCTATATAACTATATTTAATAGGGTAAATTTTTAAATTTTAAATTAAAATTTTAGTTTTAAATATAAATTGTGACTTTATTATTTTTTTTTTGAATTAATGCTAATATGCACTAACGTCATATATAAATATATATTTTGGACATCATCCAGTTTAAATGATGGTCCAATCGGTAAGATTAATGGATAAACTTTAAAATGATGTCATGTTAATATATCATATAGGTATTTTTTTGAAAAGTATTAGTTTCAATAAACACTTTTTAGACCTAGGCTTATGTATCTTTTTTGTTTTATTATTACGGTGTTTTTGAGTTAATTTTTATTTATTTTTATATTGACTTAATACATTTAAAGAAATTAATTTTTTTTGGTGTTGATCTCAAAATTTAAATTATAAATATTAAGATAATAGTTATTTACTAATAGATCCAACTTCTAAAATTACAAGCTTATATAATTTGTGGTGTTTAGTGTTTAGGAGGTGTTGAAAATGTTCCTTGAGACAAAATAATTTTGAGACATGATACACAATACTTTCCCTTAAATTTAATTTAATTTTTTTTAAATCACTGTGAGAATTTTTTTGTATAATTTTTATGCAAATTTACATGTCATTTAATATTGATTATTTGGACTCTAAACTCATGATATTATATCAATTCACTTATTTAATAATATATAAAAATTATATTAAAAAATTTTCTTCATATCATTACCCATTTTTAAATCAAAGTTGCTTTTTGTATTTACATTGTTAGAATGATTTTTTTCACAAATTAATACTCCCTTGTTCAACTTGAGTATATTTAATTTTTAATTTGAGTTATTTAAATTTAGTTTTCATCTTTCCTTTTTATGGTATTATTTAATGCATTTATTTGTATTTTATATTTATTTAAAAATAATAATTATAATGTATATTAAATAAAAAGATTTATTGAAGTAGTGATTAGTTATGAGTAAATATGAAATTTTAATTTTATTGGACAAAAAATATCTAAACTTACTAAAGTTAAATGGAGAGAGTATATTGTAGACAAGTTATGACTTAAAGTTCACTCACATACATTATTTACATAAAATTTTAATAATTTATTTTTTCATTATGAATGATAGAGATTTACTATGATTTATTTAATAAAAAAATATAATTATTTTAAAAAATAAGTTAAAAAGTAAATAAATCTCAATTATTTATAATGAATATATGAATCATTAGATTTTGTGTAAGTGATTTATAAAAATTGTGTGCAAAAATATGTTTGAGTTGAGAGGAGAAAGAAAAAAAATTCTTTTATTTGGTCAACAAAATAATTGGAGATGAGGGGAAGGGAAGGAAGTATTTTACTTTACTTTTTTTAATTTATTTATTTATCTAAATGAGGGGTGGGGTGAGAAGGGGATGAAAATGAAAGGATAAAATTTCCCTCCCCTCACTTCCTTTTAACCCAAAGATACCGTAAATGAACTCTATCTTATTGTACATTAATATTGTTATGTAAATAAATGTGGTAAAAGTCTACCTCACCCATTAAAGAAAGAAATATAAAAAGCCAAACTTCCAAATCCATCTCTAAAATAGGAGAATATAGACATATCTATCTTTTTAAAGAGGAAAGTATGAATAAATCATTTTTTTGAAGCGTTGATTAAAATAAATTATTTATTATTTAATGTGTGATGTTATTATATATCAATTTAAAAAAAAAAACATATTTGCATGACAAATATATTTTTTTATATATGATGATATTATACATTAAATAATAAATAAATTTTCTTAATCAATAATTTTAAAAAATAATTTATCTCTACTTTTTCTTTAAAAGACAAATCTGTTATTACCTCCTATCTGAAACGCATATTTGGGTCTACCAATATAAAATGAAAAAGATATGCATTTTTGTAAAGTTTAGTGTCAAATAAAATACTCGAACTCTTAGGAAATAGGCAAAGATATTGTGAATATTTAAAGTTTATGGTCCTATGCATTAACCATTGTTTATGCCGTTAACTTTTAGGATAAGTTTTCTGTAAATAGCTTTTGTTAAGTTGGAATAATATGCAAATAAATCCTCAATAATAATTTTAACCAATAAATAAGCCCTTAATAAAACTATATTAACAAATCAACCCCTAATATCAATAGAACTCAAGCTAATATTGATACTCGAGGTGGCAAATTAATTTTGAACCTTATTTCAAAACAATGGATCTAAATAGGCTCAAATCAATATATTATACAAAAGTAGCACAAATTCTCTTGGTAGCACTCCAAATATTTTTTTTCGATACTTGATTCTACGCACATTCACAAAATATTATCTCTTTTTAACATCTTAATTTTTTTATTATTATTATTTTGTATGTACTTCCACCACTCATACTGTTATAGGACTTGAAATGTTGAAGGAAATTAAAAACAAGACAAAACTCTAAATTAAGCTTCCAAACTTATCTCAAATTCTTGATTTAAGCCCCTAAATTTTTATTGAAGCAAATAAGTTCTTGAACAAAACGATTTGAATAACTTAACTTTTTTCCTTGCGTCAAATTTAACTCTCGTTTATGCTTTACTTCTAAGGATAAGATCAATACCTGCATATAAGCAATAACTTATCAGTATCTTATTTATGCAAGTGAGGCATAAACAATCATTGAATCTACTGTAAAAAAAAAAAAAGAGTTAAATTGCTTAGATTATTGAGTTCAGAACCTTATTTGCTTCAATAGAAGTTAAATAACTTAAATTGAGAATTTATGATAAGTTTGGAGACTTAAACAAAGGGTTTTGCCAAAAAACAAATTTGACCTTATATAGCTAATATTAGACCAAAATACTAATGAGATGTTTGCTATAATGCCATAGAGAAATCCATTACCAACAAAGAGATTAGCTAACAATGGCAAGGAAAGGAACTCAAGTCATTACATGTCTTTGCCATTGATAGATGGGAGATAGAGAAAAAGAGGATGATTAATTTGCCATCCTATTAAAAAGTATCAACATAAGCATGACTCTTTGTATTATTATTCATTAAGGATGAATTTGCTATCATAGTCTTATTAAAGAGTTTTTTGTTAGTTAAAATTATTTGCAATACTTATTTATATATATTTTTAACAAAGTTATTTAACAGAAAACTTAACCAAAAACTAAGAGTGTTAATGGTTGTCAACATAAAAGACCTTAAATGCTCACATTTTATAGATCTTACATGGTATTTGACACAAACAAAAATTTTAGATACTTTTACCTAGCTCTTACAAGCCCAAAAATTTATTTCACATTCAACTTTTTTGGAAAGGTGAGTGAATGAATTCCCCTTTTTGATTTTTGGGTAAATGGGCAGTGAATTTTTGTACAAAAACAAAAAAGTTGGGAGTGTATTTCCATCTGTCATTAATAATGATATCGGTAGCTTTCCATGTTTGCCTGCATGGCCCTAAAACAGTCCTGCGAAGCACAAGATAGTTTCTAGAAAGCACAAGAATATTTTAAAGTGGAAATATCAAAGATAAATCAAAAGTTGATTCCGACACCTTTGCTAAGCGTCGAAACTACGCGCTGGAATTGATCTAAAACGACCCCACATCACGGAGATCAGAATATCAGAAACAAAATCAACGGTGAAAAATAGATGGTTGCAGAATAATACTAACACGTATTGTTCACGTAATATTTACCCTTCTCATTCCCCTCCATCTGGGCCATCTCCACTATAAAACCCACCCTTCACCTTACAAACTCCATTCCCCCTCTCTAGCTCTCACTTTCTTTTCCCCACACAATCTTTCCCGACGGCGAAACTCTAGCATTTTCTGTTTTTTGTTTTGGTTTTTTTGATTTGTGGAACGCAGGGAATTGTTGGTGAGATTAGATTTTGGAGGCGGTGGAGATGGGAGCGGCGTTGTTGTCTGAGCTGGCGACGGAGATTGTGGTGCCGGTGTGCGCCGTCATAGGGATAGCCTTCTCGTTGTTGCAGTGGGTCTTGGTCTCGCGCGTGTCAGTCACACCCGACCGCCATGGCTCCGGAGCTGCCAATAACAACAATAATGGCTATGATGAGTACTTAATCGAGGAGGAGGATGCCGTCAGCGAACGGGCCGTAATAACCAAGTGCGCGGAGATACAGAGCGCTATATCTGAAGGTGAGCTGAAAAATGCATGTGTTAGATCTGTTTTGTTCCCGCAGATCTGGTGGATCTCTTAGTGTTTGTTTTTGTTCCTTGGTTTTAAGAGTTAAAATGGAATTTTGGATGCATAGATCCGATTTTGTTATATTCCTTGCCTATAATTCGAAAAGTCTGGGTTTGAGTGATCTGTTTGGTTGCTGAGAAAATGAAGGAAAATTAATCATGTTTATTTGAATCTAGATTTGGAATTTTAGTTGCGTAACATAACGTAATTTCCGGGTAAGGGTGTTATGTTGTGGTTGTACCATTCCTGGGAGTCGCACACTCTAAACTATGTTGTCTTTTTCTGAGTAAAGTTTGTTTGGCTTTTGGGCGTTATTATCACAAGTGTGCATCGCACGTGGATTAGGTGGAACAACAAAGGACAATATCAGACATAAAATATTGCTGTTCTTATTCGTATTTCTTACTGTATTTGTTTATTCGAATTAATAAATTCTGTTGTTTTGAGTCTTCCATATATTCTTGGGAATTACATTAACTCATGCAGCCCTTTTTTTAAAAAAAAAAAAAAATTATGTGCTCCATAGGCTGTTGATAATCTTAATAATGAAAGCTAACGATTTTGTTTGTATCAAATAATTTTTTTGGCCCCCTGACATTATGGATTAATAATTATAAATGTTGTTATGGTGGAGAAAAACATCAATTATAAGCCACACTGAGTTTACTACAAGTGAATCACACCGTACAGTTTTTTCTTTTTCAAACATGTAAATAATTTCAATTCTTAGATGCTATTATGGCGTGTAATCTTTGTTTCTTTTTTGGTGAAAGATATTCTTTGTTTCTTCTTTTAACTATTGACCTGCATTAATTCTTAGTTTGTCTTTCAATTTTATTATTTATGACAATTCTTGTAGGTGTTGTCTTTTCTTCATTGTGTAGTGGATTATTATGTTTTGATTTTATGCTAAACATTGGCTGTTGGCATTTGCACTCTTTTGTAAGTATGTTGTTTGAATTTAACAATTAATTTTAATGTTTGGTCAACAGGTGCAACATCCTTTCTTTTTACTGAGTATCAATATGTTGGTATCTTCATGATTATTTTTGCGATCGTTATCTTCCTCTTCCTGGGATCTGTTGAGGGCTTCAGCACAAAGAGCCAGCCTTGCACTTATGATAAGCAGAGGATGTGCAAGCCAGCCCTTGCCACTGCACTCTTCAGCACAATATCATTCTTGCTTGGTGCTATCACTTCTCTCCTTTCTGGGTTCCTTGGCATGAAAATTGCTACCTATGCCAATGCAAGAACAACTTTACAGGCAAGAAAGGGTGTTGGAAGGGCTTTTATTACAGCATTTAGGTCTGGGGCGGTTATGGGATTTCTCCTTGCAGCAAATGGTTTGTTGGTGCTTTATATTGCCATCAATGTGTTTAAGCTGTATTATGGTGACGACTGGGAAGGCCTTTTTGAGTCAATCACTGGTTATGGTCTTGGAGGGTCCTCTATGGCACTCTTTGGGAGAGTAGGTGGTGGTATATACACAAAAGCTGCTGATGTTGGTGCTGATCTTGTGGGAAAGGTGGAAAGGAATATTCCAGAAGATGACCCAAGAAACCCAGCTGTGAGTTGTATTATCATTTTTTGGAACATAAGTAGTTTCTACTTTATTACAAGCATGTTGCATGACCATCTTGGAATATGACTATTCTCATATATATTCCCATCTTAAAATCTCCTCTCTTTTTTTTTTTTTTTTAAAAAAAATCAGGTCATTGCAGACAATGTTGGTGACAATGTCGGGGACATAGCTGGTATGGGTTCTGATCTTTTTGGCTCATATGCAGAATCATCCTGTGCTGCTCTTGTTGTTGCTTCCATCTCCTCCTTTGGAATCAACCATGACTTCACTGGCATGTTGTATCCTCTACTTATTAGTTCCATGGGCATCCTTATTTGTTTGATCACCACTCTCTTTGCTACTGATTTCTTTGAAATCAAGGCTGTCAAGGAAATTGAACCAGCATTGAAGAGGCAGCTCATCATCTCCACTGTTCTTATGACTGTGGGAATTGCAGCTGTTACTTGGACTGGCTTGCCATCCTCCTTCACCATCTACAATTTTGGCACTCAGAAGGTTGTTAAGAACTGGTAAGTTTTGCTTTTTAGAATATTCTTCTTTACCATGCATGTTGCAGGCTGAAAGTGGTTACCCTTAAAATTTCTATCTAGATGATGGAATTGTTTTATGTATTATGATACTACATTTCCTACTGTTTATCATCTGTATTTTGTTGGTTGGTGTTGGGTGTCATCCTACGTTTAGCTGTGCTCGTCTCTAAGGCTCATGATGAAAGTAATCATAACACCTTTTGAATTTGCAGGCAGCTGTTCTTGTGTGTGGCTGTTGGACTCTGGGCTGGACTAATTATTGGTTTTGTTACTGAATACTACACTAGCAATGCATACAGGTATTTGTTTCAGATTTGATTTGTCATCTTTGCCATTATTATTGCAAATTCTCAATTTTGCTTAGTGATTTTTCTGTCTCTGTGCTTTGCAGCCCCGTGCAAGATGTTGCTGATTCCTGCCGAACTGGAGCTGCCACAAACGTTATTTTTGGCCTTGCATTGGGATACAAGTCTGTGATTATCCCAATTTTTGCCATTGCGGTCAGCATTTTTGTCAGTTTTACGTTTGCTGCAATGTATGGCATTGCAGTTGCTGCCCTTGGAATGTTGAGCACCATTGCTACTGGGTTGGCAATTGATGCTTATGGTCCCATCAGTGACAATGCTGGAGGCATTGCTGAGATGGCTGGCATGAGCCCCCGTGTCCGTGAGAGAACTGATGCCCTAGATGCTGCTGGAAATACCACTGCTGCAATTGGAAAGGTACCATTTTTCAAACCTCAAGTCTAGAATATATATATTTGTGTGGCATTAGAGAAATAAAACCTTTTATTGAAATTGATAAAATTGATCAAATAATAGGATGTTGGATTAAATCACGTATGAATAGTGGAAGATTTAATCTCATGCTTTTATGATTCTTTGAGTTGGCAAATTTGATTTTTGATTATGAGCCTTTACCTGCCTGATTACAGGCCAGGTTACACAATTGAAACACTTTGTGCTTGTCCACTTTCAAGATGCCGTGTTTTCTTTCCTCTTTCTTCTCTTTTGTCATGCTCCTTTGATGTTTGTTTTCAACTTGTTACATGCGCAACTACTTATGTGTAATTGATGTTCCATTCTCATTTTTTTCTCTAGGGCTTTGCCATTGGTTCAGCAGCATTAGTGTCGTTGGCTCTTTTTGGTGCATTTGTGAGCCGTGCATCTATCTCTACTGTTGATGTGTTGACCCCAAAGGTCATCATTGGTTTACTTGTTGGGGCCATGCTTCCTTACTGGTTTTCTGCAATGACCATGAAGAGTGTGGGAAGTGCAGCTTTGAAGATGGTTGAGGAGGTTCGTAGGCAGTTCAACACCATTCCTGGTATCATGGATGGTCGTTCCAAGCCTGATTATGCTACCTGTGTCAAGATCTCTACTGATGCATCTATCAAGGAGATGCTCCCTCCTGGTGCCCTTGTTATGCTTACTCCTCTAATTGTTGGAAGCTTATTTGGTGTTGAAACTCTTTCTGGAGTGCTTGCTGGTTCCCTTGTTTCTGGTGTTCAGGTAATACTAGAAGTTACAGGAGATTTGTTTTATTTTCTTTTGCATAAAAATATGCATGGTTAATAGTTTAACCATTTTTTTCAGAACATTTTTTTAATGAATTAGTTGTGTGAAATCATAAATTTGTTTCATTGGGTAGGTTGTTGAGTAGATTGTTTCTGTTTGCAGATTGCTATTTCTGCATCAAACACTGGTGGTGCATGGGACAATGCCAAGAAGTACATCGAGGTAATATTCTGTGTTAGGACCGTTCTGTTGAACCGTGATGGCATGTATGTTTTCATAATCTCTATTAATTTTTTGTTTTAATTGTCAGGCTGGAGCTTCCGACCATGCAAGGAGTCTTGGTCCCAAAGGATCTGATCCACACAAGGCAGCTGTTATTGGTGACACCATTGGGGACCCACTCAAGGACACCTCAGGCCCATCTCTTAACATCCTTATCAAGCTTATGGCAGTTGAGTCGCTTGTGTTTGCCCCCTTTTTTGCTGCCCATGGTGGCTTCCTCTTCAAGATCTTTGGATGAAAGATGATGTCAAGGAAAACTTTGAGGAGGGTTGTTGCTAACCTTGTTCAGCCCAGAAATGCTCATGTTCAACCTTTTGGTTCCTGCATCCAGCTATATCCCTTGGTGTGGGTTTTCTCTTTTCTTTTTCTGTTTTTCATGTTAGCTACTTTTCTCAGTTATGGTTAGTACCATTTTTGATGTGCTGATAATGATGATAATCGAGATGGGTTTAGAATGTGGAATCTCTTAGAATGGCCATTGTAGTGGAGGAGAGTCGAGGTAGCTTGCCTTTCCTGTCTTAGAACTGTTTAATCCTGAAATTTTGTATCATTTATCTTTTTCACTATTTAATCAAAGAGCATTACTGGACTGAAATAATTCTGGTGTTATTGACTATTGCATTTGGATATTCTCTGGTTCATGTGTGTGGTTCCTAAGAGGCTGTGTTTCAGAGTTAGAATGCATTGACAGCTTTGCGTTCGCTTGTTGGTGTTTTAGGTCTGGCCTGGTGCTGCAGGTACAAGGGACTTCCTCCAAAATCTATTAACGACTTTAGTTCTAATGGTAATTTGGTTTGGCTCCTGGTTCTAATGGTATCTAGAAGGAAATCCCTCTATTTACCTCGTCTCTCTTTATCTGTATCTGAATAAGTAAAAAAATTGAATAATTCTCTTTGTTAGGATAAGAAAAGAATTAAAAAATAATTTAAATGACTTTTCATTTCCCTTCTCTGTCCTCATTTCGATAAATAAAAAAATTAAAAGGAAAAAATAGTACAAATCACTTCTCCTTTCATCCCAATTTTTTTTTTTAACTTAATTGAGGATATTTAACAAGGCTTGAAATGGGGTGGCGTTAAAAACCCCTAGGAAACATTCTCACCTGAACCTGGAGCATGGTTTTTATTCTCGATTGGAGGTAGAGCTCCCAGATGCTTTTGGAAATGTTCTCCCTCTCTCCTACATCAGCAGTAAAATCACCTCCACTCACTCTCCCTTCATTCTCCCGTTCCATTTCCTCCCGACTTCCTCTCCCTCCCATCCCAAAACCCCTAATAAGATCCTTTCATTTCCGAATTCTCTCCCTCGACGCCGCCCAACCTTTCGATTACGAGTCCCGACTCAAGCATGAGTACCTCCAGTCAACCTCCCTCAAGATAGCCATCATCGGCTTTGGCAATTTTGGCCAGTTCCTTTCCAAGACCTTCCTCCGTCATCACCACACCGTCCTCGCCTACTCCAGAACCGATTACACCCAGCTCGCCAAATCACTCGGCGTCTCCTTCTTCACCGACCCCCACGATCTCTGCGAGCAGCATCCCGAAGTTGTTCTCCTTTCCACCTCCATCCTCTCCACCGAGAATGTACTTCGACAGATCCCTTTTCAGAGGCTGCGCAGGAACACCCTGTTCGTCGATGTTCTCTCCGTGAAGGAATTCCCCAGGAATCTTCTTGTCAAGTATTTACCCCAAGATTTTGATATCCTGTGTACGCATCCAATGTTTGGACCAGAAAGCGGCAAGGATTCCTGGGCAGGGCTTCCTTTTGTGTATGATAAGGTCAGGATTGGAAATGAGGAGGGCAGGGTCAGCAGATGTGAGAAGTTTCTTGATATTTTTGCCAAGGAAGGGTGTAGAATGGTTGAGATGAGTTGTGCCGAGCATGATAGGTATGCAGCAGGGTCGCAGTTTGTGACCCACACGATGGGGAGGTTGCTGGTGGAGTTTGGTTTGGAGTCTTCCCCGATTAACACCAAGGGGTACGAAACTCTATTGAATTTGGTGGAGAATACTAATGGGGATAGCTTTGACTTGTATTATGGGTTGTTTATGTATAACCAGAATGCTTTGGAGCAGCTGGAGAGGTTGGATATGGCCTTCAAGGCAATTAAGAAGGCGTTGTTTGAGCAGTTGCATCAAGTGTATAGGAGGCAGTTGTTTGGGGATTCAGTAGAGGCAGAGAGGGTTTCCCCACAGAAGCTCCTTGGCAACGGAGCTCCTGTTTTACCTCCTTCAGACTATGAGAGCCAACAAGGGTCTTAAAAGAGACTTTGTTTTTGAGGTATGAGAATTTCTGCCATATATTTTTTTTTTTTTCCTTTTGATGAGGAGAATTTCTTGCTATTTCTAAAGGTTTTAGTTCTGTAATTCCCTTAGTTTTAAATGATATTTGTTCTTGGTGGTTAGTTTTGCTAGTTATTGAACTTCAACTTAAAAGAAAGGTAATCTTAGTTGATGAAATTTGCTACTTTTGATAGTTTCATTTTATGACCAAAAGAAAGGTAAGCTTGTATCAGCATTGCAATTTCATGACCTTATTATGAATATGAATGTCACTGGGCAGTAAATGAGGATAACATAGTTTCAGTTGAAATTTAGTTCTAAATATGACCTTACATTTGTTAGGAAACACTAGGCAGGGACCATGTAAGCATAGCAAATTACTCCTTGTAATCTCCCCATAAGGGTAATGTGACTAACAGACAACATCCAAGAGGAAAAGTGTCCAAAAGTAAGCACTAAGCAATGAGGTTTCACTTCAACAACATTTTGATTGTCTTAAATAGAGCTACCAAAATGTTTCAACACTTTTTAGTCTCCGTCATGACTTACACCATTTCAAATTTTGTCAAATTCTTAATCTTTGTCTAGAGCTTTCAGCATAAGTCACACTTTTGTGATCAACAAAATCATAAATACCTGAAAAAGTTTAGAGAAGGTGTCTATAAATCTTTGCATTCCTTTAGCTGGAATAGGTTAGCGCAGGTGGTTGGTGGCATTTTGTATTGACATATTCTCACCTTCATTTTCCTCAGATCTTCATAGCTGGATAAGATTAGCCTTAGAGAATGGGTTGAAAAGGTTAGATCCCTGCATCCAGAGCAAACAATTAATGGCAATTCTCCCAAGAGAATAATCTACTTTGCCTCAACCACTATTTTCTTTTAAAACATTAGCCAATCTAAATTTAATGAGATGTTCTTTGGACCAGGCCTTAATCTTTATTGAGTTCCCCAAGGAAGTTGTCTCTGGAATATTGCCAAAGCTCCCAAAATTTGGAAGAATGGTGACTGCACTTTGCTTCAGCAATTTGTTCCCTAAGCCTGTTTGAGTTTCAAGTCTATCCACATTTCTAATTTCTTTGTTGCCCTACCGTTTATGTTAATTATGGTTCCCATATTTTTTGAGTTAGTGATTGCATCTCAAACTATTCAATGTGTTTATATTTATGTGATGCACCAACCTTGGTTGATCACCAATGTTGATGGTTGTGATCACTTGGAATTATTGTATTTGCTATCTAATACAATTACAGAAAGTAAGTTGCATTCCCTTCTTTCAAAACTAACCCTCATTGAGGAACTCTATCTTTGTTGTCGTCATGATCAAAAGAAAACGGATTTCAAATCCATGTCTCAAAACTCTGCACATTTGTGGCAATCTGTTTAGCCACCACCTTCATATCATAGAAATTGCAGCAGAGTCTGGCAAAATTCATCTGTATGGCTGGTTTGAAAGCCTGTAGGATTAAGGTGATAGATTGTTGTTGCAATTTGAAAACCTTGGTTTTGTACTATTTGGCCACAAAGAGAACTTTTCACAATCTTATCTCCAAATTTTCTTTGCTTGAGAATCTCTGGATCTCTGGATGGTTGACTGTCTCAATTTAGAAAGGCTTAAGTTTCTGTATCTTCGACCTAAGAGGCTGCATGTTGCTAGATGCTGTAAATTGAAAGCTGTGAAGGTTGATGGTATCCAGTTAGCATTTTTCAATCCAAAATAATTAATTAATTCCTTTAATCTTCTGAAACTTTTATTGAAGCAGAGCCTAAGAAGAGGCTTCATGCAAACACAGTGGTAATTTTAGAATATATAAATGTTTTATTTGAAGCACTGATTTAATTCAGCTGTTCCAGCTACTAAGCTTCTCTTGGTTTTAAGATGATACCTAGTTGAACATGATGCAGATACGAGTTAACTCTGTCTAGTTTCTGTGATGTAAGTAACGGTTTCTCTCTTGTAGGACTAGTCATGATCAATAGAAGTTCAATAAATAAAAAACAATATGTTTGGAACACTTCTTTTTACGATCCCCTCTATGCGATTGGTCGTGTTCTCTGAATCAAATAATAAGTAAATATTTATTGCCTATAACAATGGCTAATTTCTTTATTTGTATCATGTGCATTATTATTTTTTATTGATATCTTTTAAATTTTTTATTTTTAGTTAGAGAATAATATAAAAAATGTAAATAAAGGATTTGGCCTCAATACATAGAGTATTGGAAGGATCATTGGGCAAAGGAAGATGGTGTTGCCTGCGCTCCCTTCGACAGGAAACGACGAAAGTTGGATGATGTAAATTGTAGAATTAGATGAGATCAAAGAAAACATGAGGCGTGGAATCACACTTTTGGTTCAAGTGATTTGTTCTCAATTCTTAATGCATTTGGGTTAGTTGACTGGGTTTTAAATCTTCCTAATACAAGAAAACTTTCTTCTTCAAATTGTAAACTGTTTAATAAAAAAGAAAAAAGAAAGAAGAAAAAAAGGAAAGCATGAGGCTTCTAAGCACAAAACTGCAAAAGTTGTGGTTGTCTTATGTTACTTTGGAAATTCCATAATGACAAAGTCATTGGTTTTTGTGTAAATTTCCAAGTCTTTTTTTTTTTTTTTTTTCTGTTCTTTGTTCTTTAGCTTTGGAAGTTGCGATGTTTCCTATGTGATTATGGAGGGTGAGTCTATTCATCCTTTATCGCCACTTAGCAAAATTAATAAGATGGGATAACAATGTTTCAAAAAAAAAGGGGGGATAATAATAAATTTCTCCTTTTTTTTTTTTATAAAGGAATTCGTAAGATATATTTTGTTTAAAAAAATAAGAAGGATGTGAAGAGAAGTAGATTTTTTTAATTAAAAAAATTCATTTCTCTCTTTTTCTTTTTTCTCTTTCATTTTATTTAAATTAAATATATTATTAAAAATTTCGTTACATATTGATAATTTTGTCACTAAATTACATAATGGATGGTCTTATCTTATTCTATAGTGATAGATTCTTAGTAAATATTAATCCATCATAAAAAAAAAACAAAAACAAAAACAAAAGAGAGAGAGAGAGAGAGAAGTGTCGGGGAGGATTAAAGTAATAAAGCTTGAAAATAAAGGACTGGATAAACACCTCGCACGCCACCTATACAGTTATTTCGACGTTGTTCCATTCGTTCTTGGCCCCAATCATCCCAACGCAATTCTTCCTTTTTGCAGGTAAGTTTGTTTTCCGAATTAAAGAATGATTCAGTTCAACTTAGCCAAAACAGTCTAGCTTCTCAGTTGAATGGTGGTGATCTTGGAATCAAAACGATTCAGGTTTTGATTCATTTTAGACGCATAATTGTAATTTTCGATTGTTTTTATTGCATAGAATTTGGTTTCTGACGATGGGTCTTGGTTGTTATGGGAAATTCATTATGGGTAGACCGTTTTTTGCTTAAATTTTGTTGCTTTTACAGTTGAGACTCGATGGGGAGTGCTTCCTCCATGCTAACTCAGTATGACATTGAAGAAGTTCAAGAACATTGCCATAATCTGTGTGGGTTTCATATTTTATCGTTTTTCCTTTCCTGCATTGAGTACTTCATTTTTTTTGTTGTTTAGTTCTCTAAATTTTGATGTGTTTTGGTTGTGGACTGCAGTTTCCCAACAAGAAATTGTATCACTGTATCAAAGATTTTGCCAGTTGGATAGAAATGCAAAAGGATTTATCTCCACTGATGAGTTCTTATCGGTTCCAGAGTTTGCAATGAATCCACTTTCCCAGGTAGTTTTCGGTTGAGGTGATGATTAATTAAGGATTTCTTTGGAGTTTGATAAGAATTCAGTCCATTGGTGGTGTTTTAGTAGTGTAGTGGAAATGTGTAATTTTGAGTTTATATAAAAGACTTGAGTTTGATTAGGTGATGACTTGGATTTGTTGTCTTGCAGAGGCTGCTTAAGATGGTGGATGGCTTAAACTTTAAGGACTTTGTAGCCTTCTTGTCAGCATTCAGTGCCAAAGCAAGTATACAGCAGAAAATTGAACGTGAGTCTTGGTACCTTCACCATCAAATGGTATCTTTCTGTGGCAGTGGTTTTCTTTATTAGATTTATTTTATTGATACTGAGACAAGATCCGTGGTAACAGAGTTGAAATGTTACCTCTTTTTTTTTTTCTTTTTTATATATTCAAGACATAAGAAACTCTATTATGCCATTCCTAATTTGTATTATCATTTATGTTTGAAAAGTGGCAATGGATTTGGATTTTTTACCATTTCACATTGTTCACATCTCAAAAGAGGCAATAATGAGAACCAAGAGGTCTCATTTTTGGTTAAAAGATGCAACTGAAGTAGTGGAGACATGCAAAATGTAAGAAAGGGTAGCTACATTTTATGCTTAGGTCTACCTGAGTAACTCCCTTATAAGAGTTATGAACAATAGGGCAGTTTTGTTTTATGCATGTCTTTTCAAGTAGTTTGTGAAATGATAAATACATGGAATACTCTTTCCAGTTTATTGAATACACTCTTCAACATTTCTTTCCGATATTGAGCTCTTTTTGTCCAAAATTTCTAATGTTATTATTGTGCAACATATCAGGAAAGAAGCAATACCCTTGCTGATTAGGAAAAAGGACAGTAAATTTCTAAGAACTCAACCTGTAGGCTGAAGGCCTAAAAAAGGGAAAAACCTGTAGGCTGTTTCAAGCAATATTGTTGATTGCAAATATCCACTTAGATTGGTCTGTTGTAGCCATAAATATATATGAGATCTTTCCACAAAGAAGTCCTTTTGTTCTTTATCCTTTTCATTATATTTTGAGTTGCCATTTATTGTCCTTGCCTATGGAAGTTGTAAAATTTGCTGTTATATTGACATTATAAATATTTTCTCTGGCTCAGTTATCTTCAAAGTGTATGATTCTGATTGTAACGGAAAGGTGTCTTACAATGACATATTAGAAGTGTTGCGTGATCTGTCAGGTTCATTCATGTCTGACGAGCAAAGAGAGGTACTACCCACAATATTTGCAATCCATTTATATTCTGTCCTCTGATCCTACAATTATGAAACAAAAGAGGTTTTGAGATAGGTGGTGATGCAGCCACTTGTGGCTATAAGTTTCTATTTATTTCTGTTCAACATAGAAAACTATGTAGCTATTCTCCTTTCACATATTATTGGCTGCTTACCTGGTAGGATAATCCAGTGCACAGCTGGGTGCTAAGCATGCTAAGCCTGGTTAAAGTATATGATTTTGTGGTTATCAAAATTCTGTTAATATTTGAGTAAAAGTTTTTTGCTTGATCTGGCTCCGCTAGACATTCTTACTTTCTGCTACTGCTTCAAGACTTTTTTTTAATCATATATTGTTTATGGAAGCTATTCCAATTCATGTTATTTTTCTAATTTACAAATGTAGAGAAGTGTTTTATTTATTTATTTATTTTTGTACAGAAATAGTAAGAAGTTTGCAGTTTCGTTTGTCTCAGATGTTGGAATTTAATTAAACCTTTTGTCTCTGTTCCTTGCTTTTCTTTACTGGTATCACCATAACATCTGCTGTATTGCTAATTATTTGTAAGCTCTTGTAATGTGAAATTCTGAGAAATTCACGAAGTGCTATCAGTCTTAAAGAAGTCTAACAAAATGCTTTTGTTTCCTCTGGTTTTTGTCTTGCAGCAAGTCTTGACCCAACTTTTGAAAGAAGCTGGTTTCTCAAGGGACGCTTACTTAACTCTGGATAATTTTATTAAGGTGATTTACAAACTGTTTCATGTTTTTCATAATAATCACTTCTTCGTTGGCCAAAAGAAAATATGTATTAATAATATTCACTTCTGCATTTTGTTCTGATATTTTTAACAGAAATTTAATCTAAATGATGCGGAAATGGAAATTAATGGTATAACTATTTTTCATTGGTTAGACACAGAAGAAAAAGGAATAAAATGGGAGGAAAAATTTTTAACAGGGGAATAAACTGATAGACAATAGAGATAATAAGAACTTTTGCAGAAGCATCAGCCTCAAAGGTGTTTTATTAATTCATACCCATTGGTGTTAATTGGTAAATGTAATGGTTGAACCCAATCAAAACAATCCAAAGGGTATAGCTTCAGTCAGCCTGGAGAGGTTGGAAATCAAATAGGAATTTGCATGAAGGTGGAAAACCAAAGATGATGTTATTGCATAAAATATAAGAACCTACAAGTGAAAATTTCTGACATTAAATTGATCAGATCAGTTTTCCTTTGGCAATGAGCAATAGATATGTTCAAATGAAAAACTGAAATGTAGTAAAAAGAGAGAGAGAGAGAGAAAGAAACTCTAATGCCATCAGCTATAATTACAAGACTTGCTAGAGTGTTGACCGTACTGCCGGTATCATCTAGCTTCAGATAACTAGAAAGCTTGGTTATTCAATTTTCTTACATGGTCTTTTGCACGATTCTTTGTTTCTGCTTTTGCTTTTCTCATTCATCTCTTTTATAATATTATCATCACTCTGTATTTGGCACAGGTTTTTGGAAAGTCAGGTTTAAAAATGGAGGTTGAAGTTCCCGTTGACTAAGCTAAATTCCTCCATCATGCCTTCAGTTCTGGTTCAATGATTGTAGAAGATCTGGCTGCAACCGTTGTAGGATAGTTAAAACTCATAACACACCTATTTTGTTCCTTGTTTAGTTTCCAAACCTCATGCAAAATACAGTATAAGCCACCTGTGTATGAAAATAAGCTTTTGGTTCTCTCTGTCAATGCTCTATATATGTTTGCAACTGCCAACTCTCTCCAGATATGTGAATAATGGATAATATGCTGTTAGCAACCCCCGTTGATTTGATTTCCCTTGTTTACTTGCACATGCTGCAACTACTTGACTCACTACTGCTGTGAAGCAGCTTTGCTGGTAGGCATGGTTTTGGCCACCAATAAGAATATTATGGCCACCAAAATTATAAAATATTGTCATTAAAAATATTGATTTTGTTTAATTTAATTAATAAATATAATTATTAATTAATTAAATATTTATTAATTAGCAAATTAAAATTAGTAAACAAACTAATAATTTTCAAACACTGTTTAAGAAAAAATAAAATAAAATAAAATTTTAGTGATCTTTATGCCATACCCTCTCCAGGTTTATCTGTTATATTCAATTCAACTTTTTGGTGATTAACCGAGACAGTAGATTTATCAGGAAGCTTATATGTGAAGGAAGCGGGAAGGACCAAGTGGTAATTTGCCCAACGTCCAGGTTTCGCTATTGTTAGGATGAGATAATACCAGTTGTTTGTACTCAACCCGACGAAGGCCAAATCTTGTGCTTAATAGAGCCAAAATATGCCTCCAAAGGTCAGAGTGGCTCTTAAATTGTTGGCTTCAAGCTGAAACTACCCAGCAGTGCTTAAGGTGAAGACGTTCTCCTTGCAAATACCAGGCAATTTCTCAAAGAGCTCTCTCTCTCTCTCTCTCTCTCTCTCTCTCGCACACACACACATGCATAAAGGCAAAAGGCAAAAAAAAGATGCCTTAGTTGAACTTGTGTCTGCAGACTCTGCTTCCAAAGCTGGCAACCTCTCTTCAAATTCAAGCAAACTGTGTCTCTGCATACCACTTTATCAGGCAAGGAAAGCAAAGCAACCATCATTCACTTTCAGTATCCCGTGCCCCAAAACCTAACCTTTTTCTTTTTCTTATGAAGGAGTTCCTTTTGGTATCCTTGTTTACTTGACTTTTATGTTTCTCTGTATACTTTTGCAACTGATAGGAGATAAAGAGGAGAGTTTCTAATATACCTAACTGCAAATTTTTGTGTTCTTTGCAAATACTTTCAAAGAATTTTACGTGAGAAGGAAATGGAAATTGCTTCTCTAGAGATTAGGAACTTTAAGGAAGAAAGCAGTTGCAAGCAGATAACCAACAACTTGTTATCTAGAATAGATGCAACGACTGGAAAAGAAAGAGAATTATGTCTGTATGATTCGGGGGCTTCCAGTTCAAAGGAGAAAGTGAAGAAATATCTAGTGAAGCATTCGAGATCAAGTAAGGGTTGCAGCAGCAACTCTCGCAATGGAAAGGTATATCTTCCAGAAAACGAAGTGAATAGACTGGTTGAGAGACTGAAGGTACTTGAAGAAGAAACTGAAATCATTAAGGAAGCCTTCTTTGAGACCATGGAGGAAAGGAGACGATTGATGAGTGAAGTTTATCAGCAATTTCAGACGCTGAGGCTCTGCCTCCACCATAAGAATGCAGTAGGAAGAAAAAAGGCAGGTTTGTCACAAGTTCTAATGGAAAATTATAGTCCCAGGGTACTCACCCGAGTCTGCAGAATAAATTTTAATCACCTACTACCGTTGTCTGCTTGAAGAATTTGGTGGCATTTCTTCCAAGGTTGAAGAGTTTGTATTAATTTTGTTTGTAGTATAATTCATTTCTTTTTCTTTCTCCAACCTTATTTAATTTTTTTTATATCATAACTAATATCACATATAACTCTATTATCATATCACATAATTAATGGTTAAATATTTAATTTTTAAACTTTCTTCGATCTTATTAAATCTTTGAACCTCCTTCAAAGTTAATATTTATGAATTATTTGTAAATTTTGTTTAGTTAAAAAAATAATAATAATAAGAGCAACTCTTAATGAATATTAAAATACCCAAAGAAGATAGTGTGGCTTTTTTTGTTTTTTTTTTCTTTTTTTCTTTTTTTTTTTCAAAAGAAACAATGTGACATAGAAGCCTCGTGACTTTTCTATTATTTTAACTTGTATAAAAAAAGTATTGTGTAAACTGACTCTTTAAATAATGAGACATGATTTGGTATGCGTTTCAAGATGCTGAATATGATTACATGAAGCAAAGTGGTCACGCTTTTCTTTAATAAGCAAGGTGATGGCATCCTTGATGACGTGAAATTTGAGTTCCAAGATTGACACTCTCTCATCCCACGAATAGATATTAATATTGTCGTTCTAATTGCTACTTTCAAGAAAATGCAGTTCCTGCGCTATTTAAACACAGTACTTTGTGCAACATAGTTAAAATTTTAGGATGATATGATTACACGATTGATAAAGATCATAATATACTTGCTAATTCTTCCCCATCCTCGTAGAGCATGCCATGAACCCAAGGCAAAAAAATGCCCAAATGGATGTTACCGCCATTGTTTCTAGCTATTTTTCTGGCATCATTGATGAGTTTCACTACCCGACTTGCAGAGAAACTGGCCTATCAAACTTGATACCAATCATTGTTTTTGGCACCAAAACACCATTCAGAAGCCAAGATATGGTTGTAATTGGTGGGCAAAAAGCTGCATCTTAACATGCCAAAAAGGGAGATATGTTATTATATAATAAAACTGCAACAACCCACAACCATGCATGTCCCGACCACTTT